TTATTTATTTATTCATACAGAACTGGGGTACAGGCCAGAGATGTGGAGGGTGAGAGGATTCACCAGGGACAGAGTGGGGAGCAGAACAGGCAGATGAACGAAGCACACTGCTGAGGGGAGCAGCGGGCGGGCCAGGAGAGGTCTGCCACACCTTGTGGATCTCCTCTGGGGCAGGCGGGGATCGAACTCATGAGGAAGTGGCTTAAGCTTCTTAGTGCTGTGCTTTAACCCACTGCGCCACCAGGGAGGGCCAAAACAAGAAAATTTTTAAAAAAAGGAAGTAGCAAGTCCTCAAAATCAGTAATAACCTGAAATGCAAATTAATTGAACTGACCAATCCAGTCACATGTTATTAGCAGGAGGATGGATTAACAAATAAAACTCAAGCATGTGCTGCCCACAAGAGATTCACTAAAGCAATAAAGACAAATGTAGATTTACAGTTAAGAGAAGGGGGGAAGATAGAGGAATCAAAGCAGAAGAGGGAAGAGCACAAGGGATGATGATGAGAGTTGGTGGTGGGGAACTTACAGGGACTGCACCTAAGAGAAGAAAAAACATTGGAAAACATTATACAAAAGTGAATATGATCCAAAATATATATAAATGATTAAATTTTAAAACTCCTGAAATAATAAATCAATTTAATTAAAGAAAAATTTTTTGATGCCTGAATAACATCTAATTACAATTTTACTGATTGCTAAACATGATTTAAAATTTTTTGTTTTACATATTTTCTTCAATATTTATCTTTAATATATTTTCATGAATATATTATGAAAGAAAGTTTGACACTAAGCTAGTATATATTAAAATATTCACACAATGTATGATTATATCTGTGAAAAGGGATGTTTGAAGCAGACTCAACTCTGTGTCCAAACCTCCATTACACTGAATTTTTAACTTTTTAAATGATTATTTACTGATTAGCAAAGACTATTTTTCATCAAGACAAAGTTTTATCTGAGAACTGTGCAAAGACAATATCTTTTCTTTTTCTTCTTTCCATAGTTATCAAGGCCAACTTGAAAAAAAAACAAACAAACCCTAAGGCTATAATCTATACCCAATCCTATTTCTTGATGAATAGAGTTTGCAATTCTGTCTTTCTTCCCCCATCTCCATTTTGTCCTCTAGAAAGCATCAAAACCATAAATGAAGATACCAATAAGACACAATAAGCCTGAAATTTACCCAAAATAAATGCTATTGTTTACAAAGCATTCTACCCTTTGTAAAATAACCTCCAGCCTCCCGCCCCCCAAATTAGCTGAATAAAAAAAAAAAAGTGAACATTATATGACAATAAAAGGATTGACACCACAGGGAGACATACTTATTAATATAAATGCACCCATAGTAGCTAATCTTTAATATACACAGTAAAGATTAACAGGCCGCAAAGGTGACATTGAGCAATACACAATAATAAAGACGAATTTAACACCTATTACAGCAATGAATAGATCATTTAGACAAAAACATACACAAGGAAAAAATAACCTTAAATAACAAATAAGATAGAATTAATAGGTATTTACCAAGTATTTTACCCCAAAATAACAGCATATACAGTCTTTTTGAATGCTCATAGAACATTCTCAAGGAGTGATCATTTTTTGGAAACAATGCATAATTCATTAAATGTGTGATATAAGTATAAAATATCTTCTTGGATTGTAATAATATGAAACTAGGAATCAACCCAAAGAAGGAAAAGCAGAAAGTCAAATTTGTGGTGAATATATGCCATGCTAATGAGTAGCTACTGGGTCAATGGGGACATCAAATGTGAAATAACAAAATATCCAGAAATTACTTTAAATGAAAATGACATTAGAATTTATGGGTTGCAGCAAAAACAGCACGGAGAGGGAATTTTACATTAATAAAATAGATAAACCTCAATAAGCAAGATATACCACAAATAAAAGATCTAACTTTACACAAAAAGTAACTAGAAAACCAAAGTCAATCAAAGGAAGGGGACAAATAACATTTGAACAGAAAGTAATAAAAAGTAAATAAAAAAGACATTATGAAAGATCAATGAAACCATGAACTACTTCTTTGAAAAGATTTACAAAATTGACAGATCTTTAGCCAGACTCACAAAAAAAGAGAAAAAATACAAATACTTATAATCTGAAATGAAAGAGGAACAATTACAGCAGATATTACAGAAATATAAAGGATAATACAATATTATGAACAATTTTACAGCAAGAAATTGGTAACATAGGGCATTCCAAAACCATGTCATGAAGAAATAAAAATCTAAACAGAATGTTAATGATAAGGAAATTTAAGCAGTAATTAAATCCCCCAGAATGCAAGAACCAGTCACACTCATTAGTGATTTCTGAAAAACTTTGAAAGAAGAATTAATAACTTTCCTTCTCAAACTAGTCCAGAAAATTGAAAGTGAGGAATAGCTTTAAAACATATTTCATTAAGTAACATTACTCTGATTCCAAAACCAACCAAGATCATCACCAAAAAAGAAAATGCAGACAAATTATCTCTGATAAACATACTTGTAAAAATATTCAACAAAACATTAGCAAATAAATTCAATAACATTACAAAATTATACGTCATGATCAAGTGGAATTTATTCCAGGGGTTCTAAGATACTTCAACACATACAAGTCATTAAAACTGGTAAATCAAAAAGGAAGAACGAAAATTGTGTGATTATCTCAATAGATACAGTAAAAGTACTTGACAATATTCATTGCCCCTCTATAATATAAACCTTCAACAAAATTGATATAGAACAAACATAGCTCAGCATCATAAAGATGATATATGATGTGTGAGTGTGCAAGTCTCCTTTCATGTTAGATAAGGGCAGGACACTTGATGGCCCTGGGCAACAGATATACATTACAAAGTATGACTTGGAATATCTGGGAGGACATTAACTATGTACTTTTCATTCCAGCCATGATCAGTGGAATGCCTTGTAAGATGGAGCCATGGGTAGGTATTGGGAGTATATAAACAGAATCATCTTCCCTAAAGCCCCAAGTCCAATATTCAATTTAACTCACCCTTTGCTCTCTCTCAATAAAAAAGGCCAAGATCTTGCTCTTGAGTGTCATCCTACATATTACAGCCTGCTCTACAACTTCTGTTTCTTTTTCCCTTTTTTTTTTTTAAATCAGAAGTGGTGTTGCTGATGCAACATGAATATACCCACAGGTAATATAATACTCCAAGGAGAAAAAACAAAGTTTCCCCCCACTCTCCTTATAGCTCAATGTAATGTTAGAAATTCTAAAAAGGGTAAATAAAGGTAAAAATATATAAATATCATCCACATTGGATGCTATTGGAAAGAAAAGTAGGTATGATATATAAATTCCCTAAGACTCTAGTAAAAAATCTATTAGAAATAGAAAAATCAGCAAGTGGCAGGATAAAAAACATAATATACACAAATCTCTTGTGCTTGCATATGTACATAATGAATTAGCAGAGAGAGAAATTAGGAAAATAGTCCCACATAAAATATTATCAAAGAGAATTAAATACACTGAAGTAAATTTAACCAAAGATGTAAAAGTCACCAAAAACTACAAGGCATTTTTGGTAGAAATAGAAGATACAATGAGATGGAAAGATATTTCATGCTAATGAATTAAAAAAAACATTAAAATTACTATGTTATCTACATACAAATTCAATGCAATTCTTCCTAAATGCCAAGTATATTCTTCAAAGAAATAGAATATACATGAAATTTATTTGGAACTACAAAGGACCCCAAATAGCAACAGTAATCTCAAATGAGAAAACAAAAATGAAGATATTAAAATATACTACAAATTAAAACTGCATGGTGTTGGAGTTACACCTTCAAGGAAATATCATTGAGATCTCAGAAGTAAAACTAGACACATATGCAATTAATTTAGTGCAAAAGAACAAAATGCAGAGTAGAGAAAATCTCTTCAAAAATGTGGTTTTGAGAAAACTGGACAGCCATACATACATGATAGAATGAAGCTACAGCTGACTGTCTGCACCATTTACAAAAATTAATTCACAATTTTCAATATATAAACACTGAAACCATAAAATGCATAGTAAAGGAAATGAGTGATATAACCCTTAATATTGACCATAGATCCATTGGATGTGACTCCCACAGCAAGGGAAAGGAAACAAAAATAAAGAAATGGAACTGCACCAAACCAAAAAGCTCTGTTCAGTAAAAGAAACTTGGATCAAAATGAGAGGATGTGCAACTGATTAGGAGAAGATACTTGCATGATATACATCTAATAAAAGGTTAGTATTCAAAATATAAAATAACTCATAAAATCCAACAACAGAAAAGCAACATGATTAAAAAGATAGCAGAGTGTCTGAACATCTCTTTACAGAAAACACAAATAACCAAATAACCAGTAAATACATAAAAATATTCCTTATCTCTTATTAATTAATGCAAATCATCACCTCATACCTGTGAGAATTGCAGTTATCCAAAAGACAAGAAAAAACAATTATTGAAAAGAATGTGGAGAGAAGGAAAACTTTGCACTCTGTTGGTGGGAATGTCAATTAGTACAGTAATTATGGAAAACAGTGGAGCTTCCTCAAAAACTTAAAAAAAATCCCACATGATCCAGTTATCCCAATTCTGAATACTTATCTGAGAAATACAAAAAGAAATTCAAATCCCCATGTTTACCTCATCATTATTTACAATAACCAAGGTCTGTAAACAACCTAAGTGACCACTGACTGGTGATTGAATAAAGATGTGGTGTATATATACACAATGAAATACTAATCACCAATAAAAAGATGAAATCCTGCCATTCATAGAAACATGAGTGGATTTAAGTCTGACACAAAAGGAAAAACATATGATTTCACTCATGTAATATATAAATAAAACAAACAAATGGATAAATAAAACAAAAATGAACTTTTAGACTATAAGACCAATTGGTGGTTAGCAAAAAGGAATGGAGAAGTAGGTAGATTAATTAGACAAAACAAGTCAATTGTATGTTAAGGTAGAATTGGATGTTCATTGGTGAACTTAATGCCCCTATATATTTTCAATGATCCACATTTGAAACTTACATAATGTTTGAATGCCATGCTCTTTCAATAAAAATTAAATAGAAATAAATAAATGGTAAATAAAACAGGCCTCATCTCATGGGATATATAATCTGATGGCAGAGTTAGATTTTAAAACAAATAATCTTAAGTACATAGTCATGGCATAAGTTAACTGGAGTGAAACACAATATGCTACCTGTTTAAGAGCATTAAAATGGAACACCCTGATTAAAGAAATTAAACTTTTATAGATAAAATAGTGAACATGTTCCTCCATTAAGTTTCTAACAGGTCTAATCTGTTTACCTCTACCATCTTCATAGTCCAGAAGGCCAGCACCTGCAGAAAAAAATAGTGATTTTGCACCTTGAAATTAGTAGTGTTGGCCCTCCCTAGTGGCACAGCGGGTTAAAGCACAGCATAAAGAGGCTTAAGCCACTTCCTCATGAGTTCGATCCCTGCCTGCCCTAGAGGTGACCACATGGTGCGGCAGACCTCTCCTGACCCGCCTGCTGCTCCCCTCAGCAGTGTCTATCTGCCTGTTCTGTTCCCCACTCTGTCTCTGGTGAATCCTCTCACCCTCCACATCTCTGGCCTGTACCCCAGTTCTGTACGAATAAATAAATAAATCTTAAAAAAAAGAAATTAGTAGTGTTGTATTTAAACTCTGTGAACTGATACGTAATGAATTTTCAACAGAGAATAACAATGTGAATGATTTTACTTTGCAGGCACTAGTAACCTTGCATAAGAAAGAGGAATAAATAAGACCTGTGCCAGTTACTAACTTCACAGTATTGTGAAAATAATTATAAGGAACCTCAAAGTTGCTTTTCCTTTCCATACCCTAGCATCTACCTTTTGATTGTCCTCTCATTAATAATGGGTTACCTGTCAGCAACTTTAGCACCTCACTGGATATCACTAAGGAAGTATACTTCACCTGTTCACATTTTGAATTGACATTTTCTCACTTATAATCATGTCAGTTGTTTTCACTCATGTTTTTCCTAACTATGTTAGATTCTTCTCCCCAGTCACCTTGCTGAGACCGTTTCACTCCCAGATTTGTGCAAGGAGTCTGCTGTTCCCATAGTTTGGCATCTCTGTTGCTGCTCTCAGACCATATGAGCATCTACCAAGGGCTTTTATTAGTTACAAGAACTATCCATTACTAATTCATACTGCTCAACTCCAGTTCAGTACCTGGTGCTACATGAATGCTTTTTTTCTGGTTTTTTTTTGGGGAGGCAGTTTTTATTTATCTTTCATTTTTGATATATTTGACATCATTCTTTATTTTCATACAATGTATGCATTATTATCTCATGTATGGTTCCCAAGAAGTTAACACCACCAATTTACCCATGTTCCATCACCATTGTCCCTTGTGCTCTTCCCAACCCTGCTTTGATCAAATTTCTTCCTCCCCTATGAAGAATGCCTATAGTTTATAGTTATCTGTTAATTTTGATTTTGACTTTCTTATAATTATATTCCCCCACCCCCTATTTGAGTTCCCTACATTCCCTCTATAAGAGAAACCATCTGAGGGATGATTTCCCATCCATGGGAATGCCAAGATGACAACATCCAAGCTCGCACAGGAATATATAAAAACAGACTACAGACTTACATGCTATGAGTTTCAACCCAAATGAGAACACCCTGGACTCACTAGAAGGAAGATAACCAAGTGAGAATCTGTGATTGGGGATTTCACATAAGGGAATTCCTAACCAGAAGCGACACAGGCAAGATTAGCAGAACCCTGCATCACTGATGGGGGGATGGAGTGCCAGGCTAGTGTCCCAGAGGGAGGATCCCTACTCTTTCCACTGCTTTAAAAATCTTGGTGACCAGATGCCAGGAAGCTCTGCAGAGGGAGACTTAGGCAGCTGCAGCAGTGGCTGCACAGTGGCAGCAGCTTTTTGCCCCATCCTTGCTACAGCCCTGGAGATAAACTGAGACAACCCAGAAGATGAAAATGGACATCCAAGAATCAAGAAGAACCCCAAACTATCATGATGAGAGGAGAAAAACAGCAAGACATATTATTATAAAACTTCCAAGAATACAAGACAAGGAAAAGATAATGAGAATGACAAGAGGGAAGAAATAAATAGCCTATAAAGGGAAACTGAACTGGATAACATCAGACTTCTCCAAAGAAACAATACAGGTAAGAAGAGAGTGGAGTGATATACTGAACAAACTCAAAGCATTAAAAGCCAACCAAGAATGCTCTACCCTGCGGAGCTCTCCTTCCTCTACGAAGAAAGAATAAAGACATTCTCACACAAAAAGAAAATCCACAATTTCATCATGACTAAACCACCACTCCAAAAAATACTACAAGAAGCCCTCAAACCAAATGCAAAAGAAGAATGAACAAGGAGAGTTCAAAACAAGGAATAAAAATACAGAAGCGCCAAAATGGCAAATGAAGGTGCCAGTATATCAATATTATCTCTAAGTGTAAATGGCTTAAACTCATCCCTAAAAAGACACAGAGTTGCAGGATGGATTAAAAAACAGAAACCGGGCCATCCCTGGTGGCGCAGCGGGTTAAAGCACTGCACTAAGAAGTTTAAGCCACTTCCGCATGAGTTTGAAGTGGAGAGGAGATCCACATGGCTTGGCAGACCTCTCCTGACCCGCCCGCTGCTCCCCTCAGCAGTGTACTTCGTCAATCTGCTGTTCTACCCTCCAATCTGTCTCTGGTGAATCCTCTCACTGCCCCTGCAACTCTGGCCTGTACCCCAATTCTGTATGAATAAATAAATCTAAAAAAAAAAAAAAAAGGCCCTCCCCAGTGGCGCAGCGGGTTAAAGCACAGCACTAAGAA